CTATGATCAGTGCCTCAGTGCTGTCTTTTAGTCCAACACTTTCCAGCCACTGATAGGATTTTCCAATGTCAACCACCTCAGCTATCTGTCAGTAGTACATCCTATGCAGGGGCTTGTCTTACCATGACACTTCCTCCACTTGAACTTCCTCCCCTGCCTACTACTGCCTCAGGCATTCTCTCAGCAGCTCATCTTTGGTTGCCATCTTACCGATGTACTCCTGGATGCTCTGAGTTTCATCCAGGACAGTAGCTTTGACACTCATCATTCACTGCCCACCCTCTTTCTGACTGGTGTACAGTCACTGGGTGTTGGAATTGGGGTGGCCAGCTCACTATACTGGCAGGGTATGTGATGATTAGCAGGGCATAAGTGTTGATGGCATGGACCTTGTTCTTCCTATTGAGCTGGCTTTTTAGGACCTGTCTTATCTTTTGGTGGTACTTAGATGTTGCTGTCTTCCTTGCCTCCTCATTGTGGTTCCCATGTGACTGTGAGATATCAAGGTACTTGTAGCTGGTCTCTATATTTGCTATGTGGCCCACTGATAGTTCAACTCCATCAGTCTTAACTACCTTCCCTCTCTTTACTACCATCCAGCCACATTTTTCCAGGACAGTCCACCACCCCAGTGTTCTCATTGTAGATCCATATCATATTGGTTCAGTGAATCAATGTCTCATTCATTCTTAGTATACAGCTTGATGTCATCCATGTAGAGGAGGTGGCTGATGGTAATTTCACTGTTGAACCTGTACCCATATCCAGTCCTTGTGATTATCTGGCTGAGGGGGTTCAAGCCTATGGAGAACAGTAGTGGGGATATTGGTATATGCCACACTTAATGGCCACTTATGTGAGCTGTCTTGAGTTGAATCTATGCAAAACAGCAGCAGGGACAGTGCATCATTTTAGTATATGCTGCACTTGATGGCCACCTGAGCTGATTTCCAGTGTTGTCTTCCACAACCCCATTGAGTTCTTGAGGAAGGTCCTTAACATTCTGTTGACTTTGTATAGTGCCAGGCATTCACAGATCCATGTTGTGGCATTGAGTCATAGGTTTTCCTGTAGTCAGTCCAGGCTGTGCTCAGATTGGTCTGTCTAGACCTTGAGTCTCATGTGACTGCTCTATTTTTTTGGTATTGATCTAAATGGAACTGGAGTGCAGGGAGGTTAGATATGATGGTATGGTTTAGTATGGGGGAGAGGGTGGGTGGAGGGGTGAGGGAGGAGGGTGAGTACCAAAGGTAGAGGGGAGAATGGGAGAAGAGTACCACTGTAGTAAACAGAACACTAATATTTTATACGCTCTTTATAGTATCAGGCAACATACTGATAGATTTTGTGAGCTTTCAAAAATTTTCTGGATGCACAATTATTTTCATTACACAGAGAAATTAGGTAGAGATGCTCTAAAAAATGTAGGTAATGGGAGAACAATATAAAATCATTTCCCTAAACGTTAGAGGTCTGGGAGATCCTATTAAGAGGAAAAGGATTGTTCATTATGTTAAATCAATTAAAGCTCATGTAGTTATGCTACAAGAAACATATATAACATATATAACAAATGGGTTGAATGATAGGTACTTTGATAAACAATTTTTTATCACAAGGGTCTAATATATCAAGGGGAGTAGCCATTCTTTTTAAAGCTGGCATAAATGTCAAGGTTTAAAAGATTTTGAAAGATAGGGAAGGTAGATATATATTTATAGAATTAACTCTAGCATCTATATATGCTCCTAATCAGGGTCACATCAGTTTCTTGCAAAAGGTAATGAACAGTAAAAAAAGTAACACAGATAATTTTATAATAGGAGGGGACTACAATATTGATTCATTAAAACCGCAGATTGGAATGTATAAGATACTTCAAAATTTAATGTATAATTATGGATTCATGGATACATGGACAGTTATGAAACTTGCAACAAAAACACATACATTTTATTCAGATCGTCATAAATCTCATTCTAGGATAGACTATATATTGATATCTAAAACTTTTTCAAATTTTCTGAAACAAGTTAAAATTGCACTAATTATTTTATTAGATCACGCTCCAATGATTACTACACTTAAATGAGAAGAGATTATTCCATTTACTTATAATTGGTGTTTCTATCCTATATTATTATATAATGTAGCAGCAAAGCAACAATTAACTCAAACATTGGGATTTTTTTTTCAAAATAGAAAAAAATTAGATCAAGTTGATTAACTTGTGTATCTTGGCACAATGATAATCAAAGATAGGAAAAAGAATGAAGTAATTTTGAGTAATGGAAATGTTGGCAAAATGGTTCTGAGCAGAACATGGCCTGTTGAAAGCAATGAATGCTTACTTAAAGAAGCAAAAAATGACAGTTTGTAAGAGTATTCTTCCTTACTAAGGGATGGATTTTCTTAATTACAATTTCTATTCATTTGGAAGTCATTAGAACCTGATCAAATGAGTACATTTCATTGTTAGAAGGGAAAAATGTATGAGGGGAATGATGTAGAATGATGTAGAACTTGGTTAAACACTGCATGTCAATATGGGATTTCTTGTGTTCCCCAAGGAGTGACTCCCTGAAACACAACAGAAAACAAAGATGATGCAATTTCTTCCATTTTTGTGGCAAAGGTATCTTCTACAAAAGTCTATTTATTCTCAGGGAGATTGGCAGAGTCATCTTGGAAGCAAAATAAGCAGAAGTAAGAACAAATGTCTACTGGTTCATCCTAGGTGCTTAGCTATTCTTCATTTATGACATGAGAGACATTTCATAAATGTTGGATATCTTGCAGTGGGTATGTATATTAAAAAATATACCAATATGGTTGGTTTCATATTGATGGATTAAAATGTATTAAACAAATAGGTAGAGAAATGTGTTTACTGTAAATTATAACATAGAAAGGTGCATTTTTATTATGGTATTTCTGATATTTGAGAGAAGATAATACACTTACAATTATCGAGAATTATTTATACAAAGCCTGAGTACGCTAGAGCATATTATCATCTCTATTTTCAAAGAAACGACGAGATAACTGGTTGTGTTAAACGATTTGAGGAAAGAGAGTAATGGCACAATATG